GTTGTGATAGCGATTAGTTAATAAATGTAATTTGTATATTTACTGGATAATGACGAAGGACCTATAGCATATCCCTAAATATACTTATATAATTACCATGTTTATTTCTACGGCTCTATCCGGATAGACTTCAAAGTAGGTTATCCCAATCCTGTGTTAATCCTGACCGCTAATTTCGAAGGAGCCCTCTCTCCAAGATTTTGACGTTATCAGTTTTGGTTGGACTTGTGGATTGGCGAAATCAACGGTCAGGATTAAACATGATTGGGATAATCCACTTTAAAGTCTATCCGGATAGAGCCGTCGAAATGAATGCAGGTAGATTCATTATTAGGTATTGTATTAAAAAAATCCAGAATCCAATCTAAAAAAAATATTTTTGAACCCTTTTCTTTATTTTTTCCCATGTACGAGTATTAAAATTATTTTTTTAATATAAAAAATATGTAAAGTTAATGAATCATAAACTGGTGCAGCATATTTAATATATCAATGTAATAAACCTTATAGCATATTGAAAGTAATGAAAAGATAGAAGAAACAGTGAAAATAAATTAAATGGTACAAAGATGAGCCATCCAACTTGCACATACCTCTTGCATCTTCTGGCCTCCGAATTGCAACGTTGTATTAGCACCGAAGACGGTCTAAAAAGCATGATTGATACTGGAAGGTAATGTCCGAATAATAAATTATAGATAAAAGTTACGGCATTCTATAGAGGCGCGTGGCTTGGTTGTCTCCAGTGGCGGTGGGCTATTGCTGTTTATCAGGTGTAGGCTTAATTAAATTCCCAATATGGTGTGATTTTCAGAAACCATTACACCTTTATTTGTAATATATCTCCAGGCTTGTGAAAAGCAAAATATTTCTTTCAAATTTCAATATTCAGGGAGAAGCAGGTTGTTTGATTAATTCTGATATGGTAGGTTGGATGTTTGGTATTGAATAGAGAAGCCGTAAGTGCTAGGCTACCGAACATAGTTTCACTTGGAAACAACATTCTCATCTAAAATATAAATATGAAAAACGTTTAGTTTACGAAATTAGCGCTGGCTATTTATCATTCTTGCAACTAATTTCATTAGCTCTGAAAAGTATTTCACCAGTGTTTAGTTTAACCACTTTCTGTGTCTATACAAAACTGCATTCTCGTCTACATGCTTCTTACTTTGTAGACATACTGGTAGATTCAGCCACTTTAGACAGAAACCAAATATATAGAATTTTTTTCCAGAAATCCTCCCAATGCTAATACAAACAATTATGATCAGTTATGGTTTGTTAATTTTATTCATCTGTGACTTCCTAGTTTAGTCCGGACGGAAATTTGAAATGTGCCCATAAAAATGATTTGTAGGAGCCACTGTTGTGGTTGATTTCGCGATAGTAATTGATTCCTGTAGATTGAGATATTGCTCAACCAGTGGTGTTATCCAGGAAAAGATCTGGGGGGAGGCTCAAGATCCAGGGTGACACGAAAATTCCATCTCGGGGCGGGGAGGGGTGTCTTGGAGATATAAAACTGCATAGCAGAGGGGGGGGACTCGCTTAGTCCAGGTAGCTACACTTCACAGAAGGTATAACATGCTGTAAAATATGTGGAAGATGCGTAATGAGCTGTTGCGCTTCGGGAGGGTAGACTCCGAGGGGCCATAAAGCCCTCCCATAAATACGCCAGTGTGCCCATACCAGAATAGGAACAGAGGCGTGGAGTCTGTGGGCCTAGCTCAAAGAGTTCCGCGCTTCTTTCTAATATCATTGGGATTGCACCCAGCCAGCGGCGGCGACGAAGTAAATAAGAAATGAATAAGTCCTTCTTGATTCAATTTACAAATTAATGCATTAATCAAAGAAACTATCCTGTTTTTAGTCATAAAATATTACCAGACATTTGAGAAACAAAATAGTATTTTAAATTTCAATAGTTATTAAGAGTAATCCATGTAATTTTTTCTTATGAATGTGGAAGTGGAACAACCAGCGGGTACGCTTATGCAGTCGGAGGCGCGGTACCTCAAAGAGAAAAGCTGTACTTTGTGTTTTTGGCTCACAAAGAAATTGACAGTAACTAGAAAAAAGTCATATTTTTTTATTTAACTCTTACGTTTAGTGGCTTTAGCATGGATAATCAGTTGTTGTTTGAGTGCTCTGGAGAGCAATAGTCTTGTAGAAGAAAGAAAGTGTATCGACAACAAACAACCCCGCGTGAGAGACGAATGATCATGAAATGTTATGAGATGGGTATATCCAGCGCGGAGATAGCAGATCAGTTTGATATGTCGGTAAATTACACAGTCTTTTTGATCATAGTACACTTTCAGTGTATAGTATAGAAACATTGTATGTATGCTGGAAATCTATTTTGAATAACAATATGTATTTTTTTCAGAATGTTACGTGGCCCGTATTAGATTTTTGTAAGAATGCTTTTGTTTATGGATTTATACAGAAACTGTTTTTTTTTGAGAATTCTAGATTGATTTATTACTTGTTGGTATTTTAAAGGATATTATTTTTATTTTAATTGCGTGGAATTGACTGTTTTATTTTATTATTTTATACTATATTATATATACTCCATAATCATTTGAATTTTTATTGAACCACTCACTACCTTATTATAACAATGAGCTGTTGGGTTATAATTTATTGTTTGCGCAACCTACGTTTTTGGCTTGAATGCCAAATATTTGACCTACCATAGAAAAATTCATCTCTCAATCTCTGTTTGGGGACCAGTTATTAAACAGACGGTCGGCAATGAGTAATCAGGGGAGCAGAAACACTTCGTTCTGCGACCTGTCTTTATGTAGAGCGCCCCTCTTTTTTCCTGTATAATTTATTGCCGGTTTATTTCTTTCATCTCCTTTACCGCGGTCTGAGCAAAAGCTAAACATACACGGTAATGTTTACCGAAAGGACATGCGATAAACAGGTTACAATAACAATAAGAGTTTTGAGCGTAGCAACTAGAATTCCTAGAGGAATTTTACATGGAGTACCCTTCAAAACACTTTAAGGAGTGTGTATATTTCGTATTTTCAAGTGTTGTGATCTGAAGATTTAAAAATAGAAAAATTGATATATCATTATCTGCCGTTGGTAATAAAGGTCATCAACTTGAACATTTTATAGACCAATTGCGTATGAGTGAAAGACGAAAGGTAAGAAATCAAAGGCCCTGGCTGGAATGAAGCTTCTCAAACGCTGGGAGATTTTAGGTACGAATTCGCGTCGTGTATCGGCGGAGTGTGGGTAGAGACAGTTGATTATGATTTCTTCACCAAAATATTCATACAGATCATATTGTGGCGTAATCATGAATCTGAATATCCATAATAGTTAACCAGGCTGCTAAGTATATCATTAGCGTGTATGTCCAGCTTTACATCCACCTTTCAACTGGATGTTTGTATACAATAGGTTTTTTTTGTTTATGATTTACTGCCTGGAGGCGACCGAGATATCCAAATAAAGGGAAGAAAGGTTACAGGTGGATGGTTCACCTGAATGAGTTAACTACTTTTAATTTTATTGATTTCAAGAGAGTAATGCCTAGTTTGGCATGTCATAGAGTAATTGAGTTTATACAGGGTAATACATATTATTATTTTTTCTGTCTAGACGATATATGATAAATAGCATTTTCTGGAAAATAAGCTTGACAAATAGAGTGCTTTAGCGTTCCACCCATTGGCGATAATCCACCTGTCGTTCTGGTTTCCATGACATTGTGCAATATCAGTAACTACTATACTAATTCTAACAGAGGTTGGAATGATTTATTGTTCGGTCACAAGTTTGAAACTGAGTGTAAGAGCGCTAAACTTAGTAACCAGAAAAGAAAGCAGATTTTCCAAACTGTGTGCTTACAAAACGATCACTTTGTTTTTTGAATGTTTGTATTTATTTTTCAGGGAACATGAATATAGATAGAATATAGAGTGAAGAGTATAAAATTAAATAAAGAAATGGAACATCACATCTATTTTCTCGCAATATACTTGAACGATCTACTTTGGAAATATTTGGCAATAATCATTGACGTAGAATGCAAAACTAAATAACAAATTTGTATCGTATTTTCTTCTTTTTGGTACTACCCAGTCATGAATCAGAAAAATTTAGTTGTTCAATAAAAAGAGTTCCAGCACGATGTAACTTAAAACTAACAACTTTTTAGGAGAGCATAAAAGAACGGTGGGCCTTTGGAGTCCCTATCGAATAATCTTATAATCCTCCATGTTAGTCTAGTCGCAAATGAAACTTCATAAGCTAATAGTGCCTACTGATGACATTCCGGCAATCACGGTGGCTTTTTTAAGCAAATACATAAGTTATTCTTTGCGTTTAGTGGTGGTACAACTTAAGCGACGATGTCTCAAATTTCAGATATGTTAGAATAACAATAGTCGCCTTTACATCATTAGCGGAGCATCGATATATTAGCACCCCACTTCCTGCTAGTTTCGCAACACGTAAAACAATCCAGTGTTCTGCGGTCAACTACCTTCAGGTGACCTTCATTCTTGGATGTTTACCTTCCTCCTGACTAGCTGCTATAACACAGACATCACAGTTTAACTGCATGTAAGATTTGGTATACCACAATGTAATTTCAGACATCTCGCCAAAGACTGTTTTAACGACGGAGTGACGCTACTCTTCATTTCGCCACTTCTTGGTTAACCACCTTAGGCGCTAATGCGACGTTGCAGTTCAGTATTTTGGGAGGCCAGAAGATGAAGGAGGTATGGGCAACTTCGATGGCTAATTTTTGTACCTCAATTAATTTTAAAACCTACACGCTAATGGCGATAACGCATTATCGGTTTTGCAGGTGGTTGTGCGGTGTAAATCGGGCTGCCCTGTCACTTGTTTTATTACACCGTACGTTCGTTGGATAGAATTATAGAAGTGGATGGCACTAGTTAGGTTAGAGGACATGATAAAGGTTATAAACAGACAAAGATCTCAATTGCTGCTGAGCTACTCACGGCAATAGACGTCAAAACGTTATAAAGTCACTAGAAATACGCGCTTCTATACAGACCGCCTTTTTCCCTATATACAGTGACCTCCAACTACACTAGCGCCGCCTAGCATGCGATAAACTAGTTCCATTATTTATCACGCCTATGCGCGGAACGCTCTTCGTTTGGCTTGGCTTCTATCCAGAGAAACATATTTAGAAATTGCTGTATCTCGTATATTGAGCTAAAAGTAACCATGTATTGTCGTTGCACATTCCCTACAGTTTTTTCTGAAATATGATGTACACTATTAGAAAATATTTGACTTACCACTCATTTTAACATCCCATTTGCTAACATCCGCATGCCAAATTTAATAACTAATTACAGTATATTCAGATAAGAGATAGACCGGATGTAAACAAAAGGTTCGGGTGATTTTCACGCTAACGCCGCCGTCTCGACGTAAAACAGGAGCCCTCATTGGTCAATTCGCAATTAAATGCCTATGCCGAGCGGCAGAGCAGTCGTATCAAGGCAGAGTCACATTCAGGTTCAGACGTGTTACGTATGTCGTGTGCATCATTGCAATTTGATATTTCTTTGGACGTTTTCGTTTGTTATCTTATTAAGTTGTTGAGTTTGTCGTTGTTATTGTTATACCTTGTTATTGATTGTTATTGTTATCAACTGCTTGCGCAAAATGCCCAGTAGTACAGATACTGCCGATGAAGTTGTAAACTCCTGTAGTCCACCTAGGAAACGCTCTAAAAAAAGACACCTGAGTGCAGAAATGAAAGAGGTCATTTTGAATATATATAAGATCGAGCGCGAGGAGAACGAAGCATCAACCATCAAAGAAATTGTTGTGAAGGTTTCTCACAAAGTTGGGGTGTGTCGCGCATCAGTGTTTAATGTGTTAAGACAATACAAAAAAAATCACACATTTTCTGAGCCAACGACCAGTAAACATCGCAAAAGTATTGTTAAATCATTGGATGAAGCTGATAAGCATGCGATTAGGAGGAAAGTGCATGAATTCTTCTTTAGGAATGAAATACCTACTATAGATAAAGTACTGCAGGAGGTAAATGGAGATACAACGTTGCCAAATTTCAAACGATCAACTTTCCATGCGTTACTGAAGCATTTAAATTTCAAATGGAAAAAACGGGGTCGTAATAGTTTACTACTGGATAGAGAAGAAATTGTGCTATGGAGGAGGGATTATTTAACAAAAATTGGGAAATATAGAAATCAAAACAGGAAGATTTATTACCTTGATGAAACGTGGGTAAACGCAGGACACACTACAAGTAAAGTATGGGTTGATGATTCTGTAACTTCATCCAGGAGGGCCTTCCTAGATGGACTGTCCACCGGATTAAAAAATCCAGCAGGTAAATACGAGTAATAGACAACAATCGGATGTTTTTCAAACCTTGGGAACAAGGTTCTAAACATTAATTCCAGGAGGCAGATAAAACATATTACAAGTAACAAAACTTTTATAACTTTCGATAAAATGCGTGGATGTTTTATTGTCATTTTCATTTGTTAGAACTTTTTTAAGCCATGTTTTTATGTGTTTTCGATATTTCAATAATTTTTTAATATAATCTTAAAATATGTCGAATATTATAAACTTAAAAAAAGTTACTAAGTTTTATATTGTGTACCGTTCCTAATATTTCTAATCATTTTAATTCATACTTTAAGCTTTATAAAGTTATAATTTGTTAATATTAATATTTGCGCGTATTTCAGGTTCCTGATCATTCATTTTTTAAAGGTTTATAACTTTAAATTAAATTGTGAAGCGCTGAGTAATCATACGACGTTCAATATTCTTTCTTTCAATATGACTAAATAATCCCAATTATAGCAATCTGATACTCATGTCTCAATGGTTTTTCGCTGAATGTGATGAAAACATTTGAAAAAGGTTCGCTTATTGAAATAAATCTACACCAGTTAGTACTTCGATTTCCAGGTAAAGGGAAAAGGCTCATTATCTGCCATATTGGCAGTGAGGATGGATTTGTTGTTGACGGTCTGTGGTGCTTTGAGTCTAAGAAAACTGGAGATTACCACGAGGAAATGAATGGCGAATCGTTTGAACAGTCGTTTTCAAAAATTTTACCGAACTTAGAGGAAAACGCAGTAATTGTGTTGGATAATGCGCCTTATCATTCTCGAAGAATGGAGAAGGTCCCAACAACGGCTTCAAGGACAGTTGATGTTCAAAATTGGCTCCGCTCGAAAAATATCAACTTTGAAGAAGCAATGCTGAAAGTACAATTATTAAGAATTGTCAAGGATCACAAGGCGGAATATCAAAAATACGCCATTGACGAAATGGCAACAAGTCAAAATAAAACTGTGCTCCGTTTACCTCCATACCATTGCGAGCTCAATCCCATTGAGCTGATATGGGCAGAGGTTAAAAATTATATAGCTAAGCACAATACAACTTTTTGTGACCTCAAAGGACTTTTCAAAGAAGCACTAGAATTAATAACAGCGCAAAAATGGAAAAACTGTATTAAGCACGTGAAAGACAAAGTTGAAAAGAGAATGTGGGAACTGGACAATATTTTAGAGGAACAAGTCGAGCCATTCATTATTGACGTTGGTGCTTCAGGCAGTAGCGATGATGAAAGCTCATCAAGCTCATCTTTCCAATAAAAGATGTCGTTCATCAAATTCGGTAAGTTATAAGTAATTATAAAGCTACTGTATTTTTTAATTAATTATTGACATTTTTGAACCCATTTTGGCAAAACCTATTCAAGAATCTACTTTCTGACAATGTTCAACCATGCACATTTTTTTACGTTTTGAACGTTTTAATTTGGTTACATATTTACCTAGAAATCAAAAAATATACTAATCGATATTCTAAAAGCAATTTTAAGAGATATATGATTATTTTTAATTTAGGCTAATTTAAACGCCATTTTGAGATTATATTCGACTGTATTTCACCAAACATCAGGCGGCATCCGAAGCTGGAAATCGAAGCGAAAATTTTGAAACCCTTATGTATATTTACATCATTATATATTTCTTACCCCACCCCCACATGATCCTATATCCATCACCAATCGTATACACATCGAATTGTGCTAATTTACTACATATACCTGGTAGACTGCAAATCCCTTTTTAATATTATAAGTGAGAAAAATGAAGAAAACTGGGGTCTGGAATAGCACATAAGGCTATTTTTTCCGAGAAAATAACTTTCAAATGTCAATTTCACAGGCTACAGCCCAAACGGCTCAATTGAATTTGACATGAGGCGAAAATGTCCAGTTACGCCTTTTGAATATAAATATTCTTAGTAAATAATAAAGCTTACATTTTCTAGAAGAACTTGTATGCACTCCAAACAGAAACTGTGCCCACAAAGTAGGATGCTCCAATGATTTTCCAGCACATTCTTGCAAATTGGACAGGGGTCTGGATTTTGACCTTCATACTGCTGTTTTCGAAGCGTTTCTAGATAATTTTGGGTACCTAATAGTCTCTCCAACAGTACTTTGTTAATTTCCAATTCTTTGTTTAAATATGAGTTTTGATAATCCAGCTGTAAAGGAACGTATATTTACATTAAATCTTACTATAGCTACATTGTCTGGTGATGACACATCGTATTCCTTATATAGACCAACATCTGAAAGAAGTCCATATCACAGTGGTGTACATATTCAAATCCATTAACAATATTGTGATACATGAAAAGTAGTTGATGGAATTATTGGTTGACCATGCATTCTACAGGGTTGTCGAATATTTGAATAGCACATGTGTATAACATTTTTTGTCTCAGTAATTTATACTGTTTGTAATGTTGACTTTTCCTAAAGTACAGCTGGAAAAATATTTTGATCATTCATTATCGCGTTGATTGTCGCACAGTGTTCGAATACCAGGTAAAAATTGAAAAAACCAAGTATTGAAAACGAACGAAAATTATTACCTATTTTAAAGTTAATACTTTGAACAATAAGTAGGCCCTGGCATCGGAACTTTGCTTACATTATCTTTTTCATATATACCATTAAGCCTGAAGTTTTTGGTGAATCATTAGATACAATTTTTTAAATGCAAAATTGGAGTTTCTGAATCAGCCGTTGTGTTGAAAATATTTGAGCATCTGAATGTGAATCACAATAAAAATAGTCCGAATCTTCATTTGATGTAATAGAAATACGTCATTATTGTTGTTTTCATGTACATCGTAAATTGAAGAGATTTTTATTTCAGCTGCGCTTCTTCATTTTAGTATTATTCAGAGAGGTTTTTAATAAGGTTCCGCTCTTTGCCCCAATTGGAGTAAATGTTGAAGATGAGCCTTGAAATACGGCCAGATAAAATCTAGTCTGCAAACTATTGAGGAACAACCTTATTTACCGCTATGTTATAAGCAGGTAGCCGGAAACGGTTATTCAACTTTCCAAATTTGTTCTTTGGATGGCCTCAAAATACCCTTCTAATACCCTCCTAGAGATAAAATGACCTCTGATTTAGGCTCAACGACCCCGAAAACCTATATGACACGCGTCTGGACGCGAATGCTAGACTTACTTTTGAATTCGTCCTTGCAGTAACATTGAAATGACTTTCAGATGCCCTTATAGTGACTAAATGATCTCTGATTCGGACTTAGTGCCCAGAAAAACCTAAGTCACATGTGGCTGGGCGGTTGGGACTAACTGCTCATCTTCTTTAGAATAACTTATTAAAATCCCAATGAAAAATCACATAATCACAACTTGATCGAGAGACATCAAACATGCTTTTTTAAATATCTGAATCATCATTTAATAATCGATTTTATTGAAAGTTGACAGAGGTATTTTTTTCGTAGTAGCCATAACTATTTTAAAATATATAAGTTCATTAGCGACGTTTCAACAATTTTAACAGTCGAAAATACTATATTTTTGCCCCTTGAATTATAATATAAAATTAATTATGTATAAAATAATTATGGCTAAATTAGCCCCCTACTACTGCAAAAAGTAACATTTCAGCAAAATCAATAAGTGGTCTATTTTTAAAAACATTTTTTTGAAAGCTAGTCAAAGGATCAAGTTGTGCGATGGACATTTTTCATCAAAATATCTAGAATATCACGTAACTGTAATCACAGAAGGCTGTGACCTATTAACTTCAATATAGCTGACGTTTGGAAAAACAATTAATTTGAAAGGAATGTCGACACGTTGACAGTCGCTTTGCGCTGTCGTGGAATATTTTTTAGTAAATCCGTGCAATTTTTCCAGAAGTTTGACACTAATGGATTCTGATAAAAAAGTGCAGGTATTTCCATGTTTTAAAAACAAAATTAAAATGTGCGTTTGAGACACCTCAACATATAAAGAAAAAACTAGCTGCAATTATTTGCACCTTTTGTAGACGAGTGGTATTTGAAAAGAACCAAAAACCGAGTTCAACTGTTAAAAACGCTTAAGTTATATTTTTTACACCACAAAAACATTCATGTACAGCTATTTTTACTAAATTTGGTTAACATCTTTATTATAGCAAAAAACTAATCATTTTGACTTAGGGTCTCTACAACCTGCACTGATGCAGAAATTTGCAAATTTCTCAAAAAGTGCCTTTTTTGGTTAAAAAATGTTTTTTTTCAACAAAAAAAGTAAAAAACCACATTGAGAAAAAAGTTATGACCATTTAAAGTGCAGTGTCTAGCGCCCTCTAACGGCCACAATGAAAAGATGTCCCTATTCGGGTTTCGCATTCCAAAAAATCCCTGGATACCAATTTTTAAGTAATAGGTTAACAAATGTTCATGAATTAAAAAAATAATTTTTATTTTCTAACTTTACCACCCTGTATCTCGGAATCGGAACAATTTTGGAATAAGGTAAGTTACTTCAAATCGGATTATTTTGAACTCAGGAGTATGCGCTAAAATTTTGTAAAGACCTTTTAGGGCCCTGTATAGTGCCGCCATCTTCAATTTTTGACAGTTGTCAATTTTTGAAACATTTTTTAAAGAGAAGTTCTTTAACTTTCTACTGAGTTATGACTCATAAGCATCGATTTACTAGTAACAAAATTAGAAATCTTACTTACTTTTTTCGCGGAAATGGTGCCCTCTGAGCCACTGTTCGGTGTATACTTATTTTGTAAATATTATTCGAGATACTGACCCCACGTTTTCATGTGCACCGATACATTTAACACCCGGCAATCGCGTTTAGGCATAATCCTAGCTATTGGCTAGGCTATTCGTCATTATTCGTCAGAGCCGTCCGGCGGACCTTTGCTCTTAGTTAAAAGTCTAGCATATTGGCAGTTTAATCCGAAACTTGACGGATTGCGGTTCTAACCTTATTTCGAGTTGTTGATTTCTTTGGGGAAAAGAGATGAAATTTTCCTTGAAGATGATGGTGACATCTTAGATATTATTCGCTCCGGATTTCCAATACGCTATTATGAACGTACAGATTTTTTTAACGAGATGGACGACCTATCGTTTTTCAAAAGATTTCGGCTACAAAAAACACTGTCACAGATTTTTAGAACAAATAGAGCATCAACTCGAGTTTGATAACAATTTGTAAGTATTTTTTTACCAAATATTAATCAATTTCCTTGGCCAGAACAAGACCGCATAGCTGCGGACTATTACATTAAATAAATGCATCTTTTCATTAGCGGTAAAATTCTGTTCTCGTTTCTTCTGATTATTTTCCATTCTGATAACCATCTTGAACACATGCAAACTATCAAATTTCGAAATTTTTTTGACAGAATCTACAAAATTTGCAATATTGCCACGTTTTGTTCAACGATTTGGTAATCGCGATTAGAAAGTGGTCCTTGCATCACATTCGAATCTGCCGTTCCTGAACCGGATTTTCCAATCTAAGTTAAAGCGTCAAACGATGCACATGGGCATTCAACTTGGTTCAGGAATGCGCCTTTGTAATTGTGGCTTTTCATTACTTAGCACACTGTATCATACAACCGTTTTCTCCAAAGCGTTGGCAACCGTCGGTTTTTTTGAAATCATATAGATTTTTTGTGACATTATGTAGGTTTTTCTACAAGATGTCAAGATATATATATATATATATATATACGTATATATATATATATAGCGGGAAGGAAACGCAGTGCATATGTGCATAGTGGGGATTTGTGTGCTAATAATCTTTGTTGATGATATGCAATTACATTATTTTCTTGTCTCAAATACACATACTTGAGATGTATGCAAAGCTAGAAGTTAGTTGCGCATCCACTTTTTCTTATTCATCCTGGAAATTACATACATATGCACATTTGCTGAATTTAAAAAATGGGAGAGATAAGAAAAGTAAATATCTGGTTGGTGGAGTATATACCAACAGGTGACATGATAATTCGCTTATGGTGGTTTAATAAAGTTGATGTGTTTAATCGTTTAGTAAAGTATTTCGTAACTGACATAAAAGTACAGTGCCCACGAGGCCTACTACAATAGGGAATCTTAGCAGTTTAGCAGCAAACATTGCATTTTTGCCGCTTATAGCAATTTTGCACAGATCATAGGGACTTATCTTTGCGTCCATCGGCGAGAAGATCTAAGCAATTACGGGGGCAGGTGGGTTGAGGGTCTATATATTGTTGGCAGGTTAATATATCATGTTTACGAATAAACAATTCTTGCTTTAAATTTAAACGAAAAATGCAGTATATTTTTGTTACTTCTAAGGTCATTACTCCGACCCCATTTGGCAACATCGCTGGTAAAGTTCAATCTGTTGTAAGGCAAGGCGCGCACTGAGATGGTGAGCAAGTGACGTGGTAGTGGCGCGGTGATCAAGTGGCAAGTGGAATCGCTAAAGCCTATATAAACAAATGAAGACGGGCGTATCAAAATGGAGTAGCGGTGGCGTGGCATTTTGTAGGTGGCGTGATGTCAGTCTGGTGTCACTAATCTCGAGCAAGTTTAATTTTCGACTGGCAAGCGGTTGGTGACGACGACGCGATGTGGGTTTTTGTTTACTTTTTCCTGGAGTGAATCATGCGAGACGACCACGAATTGAACATTAATTTTGTAGCCCTTGTAGAGGCATATCTCTGTCTGTATGACAATACACGGGAGGATTATCATATGATCCATGTGCAAGAACGGGCTTTTTTTGCCACAGCGGATGAACCCAATGCCGTTTTTTCTTCGTCTCCTGACTTATAGCATTTAGATTAACAAGTTGCATAAATAAAAGGGCATCTTCATCTTCTGAGGACGACATGGTAAACCGGTGACGTCAACTGACTTGTTTGCCACTTCAGTGCGCTTTATATCACTTTCATACCACTTCGCCGCTATTCCGATCGCCACGCCAAATTTTACCATCCCTATGCCTCTCACCACTCCAATACCTCACCACTACCACACTACCTCAGTGCGCGCCTTGCCTAAAGTCATGTTCGTACAGTCAGAAACGGTGTCCAAGATCCCGCTACACAAATTTCCTTCACTCTGCTACGCTATATAAACGGATTTCATATGACGAGATCCCAGACACAGTCACCGACCACTCGACCACTGTACGAACAAACCTAGACTTTAGTTTTCTCAATCAAGTTTATCTTCAGGTGTAATATGTTAATTAATGGTACAAGGTGTTACTTTCTGCAGATCGTTCATTATACATTATATTTGTTAGGGGAGGTGAAAATAGTGCCACCTTTCAAGATAATTCCGAATGTTTCTGAAAACATATGAAATTGTTGGGGAAACTGGTCCGGTATACGAGTACAGTAAAAAGCTTCAGTATCAGAAATACCATACCATCATCCGTATACAAAACTCCTTAAGTGGGTAATTTTATACATTTTCAGTAACATAGTAGTCAAAGTACCTAATTGTTTACTTTAATTAGTATGATACGTCATGCGGATATTTGTGAGAAATAATCAGAGTAACTTTGGATCCCTAAGAATGAGAGGAGTCTTGAATTAACATAGATCTTTCTTATTTCAGAAAGAATGAGGTGTTATTGACTTCATCTATCTATATCCACTTATTGCTGTTTATATGTATAAAAAGTTCTTTTTTACCTCATGAACAGTGAGTAGATGCATATTCTCATTTTTATTTTCCATGGTATAAGTGAGACTTTTTAATATCCTGGCGTGTGTCTCATTTTTACTGTGTATACCTTCATCACTATCTTCCACTTCTTTTAATTGTAGTCTCAATTTGCAGATATCCAGCTCATCTTCTGCGCATATCTGTTGATCCAACAATGTCCAAAAGTGACGGACTTCCTACAAACAAGTATACATTTGAAAAACCCGAACTTTCAGACCGGGCTCCTTGAGCCGTGGCGAAGGCAGCTGGTCTAGGGACGCTGACCCGAACAAGACAGCAGGACCCCAACGGGCCACTTTAGGTCTATTTAACATCATCAACACGCAAAAAAGAAGGTGGTAGGCAAGGACCAGTCGACCGAGGCGGTACCTCCATCTACCTTTTCCCAGGGTATCTTACAAATGTCCGCATGTTTCCACGCCTAAGCTACGCAGTCGGTTATCTTCCCCAACGAAGAAATTAAAGATAATGAAACTCACTCCACCCTCGGAATGTTCGGGTGAAGGGTGGACTCAATTAAGAGCAACATTGATGCTGTTCATCACTACTTGCAATCCAATCATCCCTCCATGCTTTTCTTGGCGGAGACAAATATCTCAAGAGTCTGCACCGATTAACCATCATAGCTTCCCAAATTACGAGAGAGAAAGAACGGGGGAGTTGTGGCTTTTGTCCACAGTAGTCTTTCCTGTTCCAGACACGCTTCTTTGGAGTCAGATCGGAAATACATTCTGTGGCTTCGCCTCAACTCCAAAACATCCCCCAAATTTATTTGCTGCCTTTATCGCTCTCCCTCGGATCAAAACAGGGATTAATTACTTGAATACCCCGCCGTCAAAATCGACCTCCTGAACATCAATCACTCCACTTCAGAGTTAGTTCTCCTCTGTGATTTCAATCCCCATAAAGGTCGGTGTCGCGGATGCGTCGGCTGTCTGTTCTTGGGTAACCGAAATTATCCACATCGGGATAGAGGAATACACACCTCATAGAGTGAAAGTACATAAACCAGAGTCCAACGGCTGGTTCAACAAATTGTGTGACACCGCTCGCCAGCAGAAGATCAAGACACACAGAACCTTCTTAGAGAACAGACAAGCCGACACCGAGTCCAGAAACAGATATAACCAAGCGGTTCTCAATGCCAAAGATCAGCATATACAAGCAGCGTCATGGCAGTCGGTCTTACTGGACGATGGCCAAGCAGATTGAAAGGAACTTCTCGCCCAGTAGCCTTCCACCACTTACGTGTCGGGATGGAACGATTGTAACAGACGCAAAGGCCAAGGCGGAAGTGCTTGCCAAAATCTTTGCTGCCAACTCCACCATGGACGTCCCCCTCAACGCCCAAGTGCCGTCGGTTCAAAGGGTTCCCTACACTATGCGGAAAGTAACATTCAGGCATAAAACCTTAAGACGGGTACTCTTGTCCGGACCTGATTCCAGCCATTGTACTGAAGAGGTGTGCAGCGAAGCTTGCTCCAGTTCTTTCGCGTCTCTTCCAGATATCTTATGAATCCAGCACGTTCCCAGAAAACTGGAAATTTGCTCATGTCCAGCCCATCCCCAAAAAAAACTAAGACCGACCCTTACAACTACACGCAACAGGCCTATAGCTCTGCTTTCTGTTATAAGTAAGGTGATGGAGAGGTGCATAAATCGCGAGCTTTTGAACTACCTCGACCGCCACGGCACCAGCGATCCACAGGGGACCTCCTAGCTTACGTCACGCAATTGTGGAGTAAACTCATCCAGTCTTGTGGTGAGGCTCATTTCGTTGCTCTTGAAATCACGAAAGCGTTCGATCAGCTGTGGCACGCTGCCCTCTTATGCAAACTTCCATCGTATGACCTCCCAGAAAAGCTTAGCAGATGGGTGGCTGACTTTCTCTCTGGCCGCAAGATATCCGTCGTAACTGATGGTCTCCTCTTCATCCCACAACGCCACAACGCCAACGCAGGTATTCCCCAGGGATCGGTCTTGACTCTGACACTGCTACCCTTACATATCAATGACCTCCTTTCCTGTACGATCAACCCAATCCAGCACTCTATGATGACAACACTCTACTTCAGAGTGATAAGCCGATCTCTGCCGCTGAGCTGGAAAACGAGGACCAGCGACGACTTCCTCTCAGACGAGATCACTGCTTGGGGACGCAACAATCTTGTACAGTTTGATGCGTCCAAAACAAAGTACTGCACCTTTACTATCAAAAAGCGTCCTAGCGCTCATACCCTTTCGATGGAGGCCGAGTTCTGCCAAAGAGCCGTTCACTTCGGCTGGTCGAAGTACGGATCACCGAGGACTTGATCTGGCACGAGCACATCTCGTCAATAGCGACAGCTGCTGGGCAAAAGCTAGGCTATTTGTTTAGGGCTAAAAAGTACTCTTCTCCGCATGACCTTCTCACACCATACAAGACCCAGATAAGGCCTAGCCTAGAGTATTGCTCACACGTTTGGGGTGCTGCCGCGCCGACTACATTATTAATGCTCGATTCTGTCCAGAGGAGGGCTGCCCAACTTATCGATAGCTCTTCTCTAACATACATTCTGGGGACCCTTTCGCACCGGCGTCCGTTGGCGATCTAGCTCTCTTCTACCGCTACAAAAACGGGCTTTGCTCCTCAGAGCTCTCTTCCATAATGCCGCCGCTCGACGTGCCTGCCAGACAGATCCGCCTGACTTTGGCCTCCCACCCTAACCATGTCGAACTTCGTACATCCACAACTGGCCGATACGACCGCTCCTTTGTCCCGAGGGTGTCGAGATTGTGGAACAATCTACAAGAGGAAGCTTTTCCCAGTTCTACTAACCTTAGGCAGTTCAAAAATCGGATTAGCAAAATTTCTTTTGGATCCTCATAGCAGCCGCGGTGAACCGGCATTTAGGCTTCTGCCTGCGCGGCTCCTTCGGTATAAAAAAAACATGGCGAAACGTCAAAAAATCCCTTCTATCTTATACAATCATCTATTAAAATTGTGCAAGTACTTTCTCAAACAATTTCTATAGATAATTATATCCGCTACAATTTTTGCACAAGGTATTCTTGTGGCATCCCTTTCCCTTATTGAGAAATATGACAAAATGTGATATTTTTGACGTTCAATCCCAAATTAAACAAAGTTTCGCTCCAAGATTCGCTGGGGACTTTTGATATACTATTATTTATTAGTATGTACCGCTTTTCAGCTTTGTGGGAATTTTTGCGAATAAGCTGTATTTTGTCAGTGCCAAGGACAAATACTAATTATAAAACATGAAATCTAAGATTTTGTCTAAAGTAACGAAAATAAGTATAACAAACTGTACAGGGTGTAACAAAAGTCATGGAGGAAACGTATGAGGGTGATAGGGGGTCATTTGCAATCAGATAAACTAAACTGTCTTTTTTCGATTATGCACGGTTTTCGAGTTACCGCCAATTTAAAGAATATGTGGAAAATCGCTGCTTTTGAGACTGTACTATTTTTTCTGAAGTGGTCTTTTGTTATTTTTCCTTCAGATTTACAGGATATGTAAGGTAAAGTGGAGTAAGTGTGTATCTGGGGCAAGAGTGAAGACATCCAATAAAATCTAGTTCTGTTACTGTAAGAAGTTGCATTTTATACGGTGTTCAAGAAGGTCACTGTACAGTAATTCATTAATAGATGTCGCGCATTATTCAAAATTTTCGTAGAAACCGGTGATGTGGTTGCATCAGTCGTGTGGCGATTTAACACGAGTACGCAGGCTTTTCGAAATCTAGCGACATCAGTGGTATAAGTGATACCTTTAAAATACATTTTTTTAAAAACAGGTAAGCTTTAGTAATATTTTCTTGTCATTCGTAGAATTTTTTACATATCGTTGATTTTTTTAAAAATACGTTATGCCCCACTAAAAATAGTAGGAGGGGAAAGTGTGTATTATTTTCTTGGGGCATGTGTGTAGTACCTACACACTTACCCCAGGTAAATATTTTTTTTTGTTTCAGTGTGTAAAACGCATTATTCATTCCGAATTATCCTGAGATGGTTCGAAATTATATTCGAAAAAGTAAAAGAGCTGAAGCTTACACAAAAGAAACTCTACAAAGAGCAGTTGGCGAAATTAAAAATGGCGTTATGACTGCCTATGCAGCCAGTTAAAAGTACCATATCCCTGAAATGACGTTGAGCTATCACAAGAGAGGAATTCGAGGAGCCAAAAGCAAAAGTATGGGTCGAGCTACTGCAATTCCTTTGGAAGATGAAATTAAATTGGCTGAAGGTATAATGACCATGCAAAAATGGGGATGGGGACTAAGTCGCAAAGAGGTATTGCGAATTGTAGGAGATTATGTGATAACAGATAAACTTAAAACTCCTTTCAAAGGCGGCATACCAGGTGAGGACTGGTTCCTTTCATTTTCAAAGCGACATAACTTATCGGTTAAGAAGCCACAGTCCGTGGAGTATGCTCGCTCGCCGAAAGTGCATCGACCCCTTTAAAATGAGTGATTATTTTGATTTATTGAATACAACTCTAACAAACTTAGATTTGCATGACAAACCACATCAAATTTGGAACTTGGACGAAACAGGATTTTGTCTGGATCCATCAAAAACTAAAGTTGTGGGGAAAAAAGGAGCATCATCTTCAAGAACTACAGGGGGTGTGGGTAGAGATAATATTACTATGGCAGCAAATGCTGCCGGATATAAAGCGCTTCCATTGATAGTTTACAATGGCAAAAACCTCTGGGATGAATGGATGGCAACACAAAACGAAATCTTCCCGGGTACAACATATGCAGCCACATCGAATGGTTGGATGATGGCAGACCTATTTGTACGTTATTTTGGAAAAACCTTCTTAGAGCAACTTGGCGATAAAAGACCAGTTTTAGTCATATACGACGGACACGTTTCCCATGTTGACGAACGTGTCATAACATTGGCAATAGACAATAACGTAACAATACTGAAGTTACAGCCGCATTCGAGCCATCTGTTACAACCATTAGATTTAACTGTATTTCGCTCTGTAAAGTCAAGATGGGACGCTATGTTAGCTCAATAGCAAAGACAGAGCCAGGGATATAAAATTCCGAAGAAACAGTTCAGTAAATTGGTTGGAAAAATTTGGAGAGAAACAAGTCCGGAAATCATTTCCAATGGTTTTAAGAAGGGTGGAATCTTGCCATTTAATACTAAAGTCATACGTGAAGAAAGCTATGTTCCGATGGCACTAAAAAGATGGAAAACCCAAAGAAACCTGCATGAAGGAGGTGAACAGCCGCAAACTGGGCCAAGCACGTCTGCTGTAACAAGCACGTCTGCTGTAACAAGCACGTCTGCTGTACCAAGCACGTCTACTGTACAAAGCACTTCTACTGTGCCAAACACGTCTACTGTACCAAGCACGTCTACTGTAGAGTCAGAAACAAATATGCTGCCAAATGAATGTGCAGTTAAATCTGTTTTAAATACTCGACAATCTTTTGAAGAGCTGTTACTTTCTACTGTAAAACAGCATGTTAATACAGGTGTGAAACGCCGAAGAAAAGTAGCTAGCGGAGCAGAAATTATTACCTTATCTTCAGAAGCTATGAAACGCTTGAACGAAAACAGCAATAAACCAAAAGTTCAATAAAAAAAACAGTAGAACTTTCATAGAATCGGAGAGCTCATCTGACGAAGAAATAGTTTACAATGAGAGCAATGATGATATAGAAGAATTTAGGGAAGAAGGGTCACTTGCAAAATATGTTAAGGAAATCGATAAAGATATATCCAGTATATCTGCCAAGGATTTGGATTCTTGTAGTTTTTGAAACCAAAAAAACTTACGTGGGACAAGTTATATCGATTGACGAAAGTCAAGACGTAGAAGTTAAATTTACCAGAAGAGTCCCTACTTTAACTCCTTCTGTTTCAGATAGTCTTATCTGGGCAGATCCTGAAGATATTGCAGTCGTTCCCAGAAACGACATCGTGATGTTACTTCCAACTCCAACTGTTGCGAAAAGAGGCCTTTATCGTTTTGGAGTTTCTTTTGAACATTACAATGTTTTCTAAATGATATATTTTTATAAGAATAGTTTAATAAAAAGTTCACATAGCCTTAAGTATTTTTTTCTAAAAGAGTTTGATGGCAGCAAAATATATAAAAAAGTAGTCAGTTTTACACTCTTGCCCCAGACAGAAAAACATTTACTCTATATGGCTGCACACAACTGTATACAAACTTGCCCCATTGTTAGGGGTAAGTGTGTAGTATGGGCATTGTTTTAAAAAATAATTATAATAAATTCTGGAAATATAATTTTATGATTTCTCAGCCGTCAAAATAGCAAAATAGTACCTTAATCAGATTACTCAGATTGTGGAAACCTAAAACGTAAATCTGTTTTTAGAAACATATGATTCATGCGAACTTTCACAATTTTACTACTCACTTACCCCACCTTACCTTACCCAAATGATGTTTTGCTGGAAAAATGCTATGAATTAAAATTTACTCCAGTTAATCTAGGTACAGCAATCGGCTAATCTGCAATTTTGTCAAAAATATTTCAACATATTCAACGAGGCCTGTAGAAAACATTAGTAGGCCGATAAAGCATCCACAGTGATGAAAAAACTTCTCGATATTATTTCAAAATGCGTTTCAGATAATATCCTAAACAACCTAATTCGATAGCGCTTTTCTCAGGCATTGCATGAAATACTTTGTATTAGAATCTTTAACTTTTGTATGCAACTTTTTTCTAAAGCAATATACATAAAAGTTATAGGTAAGTTAATTTATTGCGGGACAATCCGTAGAAGAGTGCTCAACTTTGACAGTGTGCCACCACTGCTAGGCCTCCGACCAATAAGTCGAAAAAACAGAAATGTCAATACAGCTTCTGGCCAAACTGAAAGAACGAAAGAAGTTGTCCACTACAATAGAATAAACCCGTCAATAAGATCTATGGTGATGGGCGACATCTTCTATTCCTAAAGCTACCAGAAGATGTACACCATTCTGGCATGGGGTCATTCTCCTCATGTCTCCGCTCGAGTTTTTGGCTTACAGAAAAGATGTATTAGATAAATATCAAATTTGACGTACTTGTAGGAACAAATTCATTAAATTGAATACCATGACATTTCCATGCATATACATCTATATTCTCTCACATATACAATAATCAGGACAATCGTAATTTACAACTCCAGATACAAATATATATATATATATATATATATATTGGATGTTGCACAATTTTTCAGAACACTGAAAATATTACTATCAGAAGCTTTTTTGTCGAGAACGTTCATTATGTTATTTTTTTGGCTTGAAACAGTTTCAACTACTTTAAATATTTATTACCCATCAATATACGTATATTGTCTATCTAGTCTATCATCTTATTTACGTATTGTTTGTCGCTTATACTCACTTGTTATGTTTTATTTTCACTTAATGTAAAACTGACCTGCGCAAACACATTTATGTATAATCGCACCAATAAATTATTAATATAGCGGGTTCCCTGCATCTTCGACGAATAGGCTGTGTGGCAGCAGTCACCAATTTGCACACAATCTTACTGAATTTTTCAATAGGGCATATCCTCTTGTTTGCTTACAGTTGTCTGTCTCCAAGACAAAACCTATACCGTATTGATTATTGCTAACTAGGATAAAACGACGCTGTATACTGTTGGTCATGGTCACAGAGACAAAAATCAAACAGATCAAATTCAGTTGAAAATATAGTTTACTGATGTAAAAAAGGAGAATTAAATATTGTACCATACCTACCTTGAACTCCTTTTTCATTGTTTCTAGAACATTCATGTGAGTTTCTCCATCTTTATACAATTCTGGAGAGGAATGCTTAATTTTCAAAATACTGCACAGTGCTACAAAATGAGATATAAAATTCAGTACATCAAAACGGTACTACAGGTTAATAATGAACACGTTTCAAAGCTAATTTTATTAAAGGCATACAACGACAATCAATATATTAATAAAAAAGCTTTGCAAACAGATTTCAATGTAACTTGGAATAGATCTTAGTGAACAAACCACGAGGGTGCTTTAAAGTTCCAAATATTTTGTACAGTATGTAAAATATTTTTCCATAAAGAGACATTGGTGGTGGTGGTGGTTAACGATTTAATCATACCGTACTATACAGGGTGTCCGTAAAGTTGGGGTTTTCCTTTTCAGAAACAACTACCCTTGAAATAACAAAGGTAATGTGTAGTGAAACGAGGGCGAGCAAGTAAAAAAAAATAAAGGAAAAAGTACTCACTCTCCAGTTGACGAGAAGGGCTAAGTACGTCTCTGCCCGAAATCATACCGCTCCAACAGAAAATGAAATCAGCTGATGCGCTACCGAGCAGACGCACCATGCCAGACCAAATATTCACAGAAAATGTTTGTTGAAAATGTGCCCGACGGACAGCGTGCGGATTTTCTACTGATCAAACATGAGTGTTGCGAAAGTTATTCACCCCATTACGCGTGAACGTAGATTCGTCTGTCACCAATATGCACTTCAAAAAGTCCGGATTACTGTCATGTTGATGCAACAACCACTCACAAAACCGCACTCTTGCTGGAAAATCGTCAGGTTGAAGGGCTTGTACACGTTGGACGTGAAACGGATACAGCCCCTCTTCACGCAGCGTTTGCCACACTTTAGTTTTTGATACTTGCACTTCTCTAGCCACGTCTCTAGTGCTTGTTGAGGGATTCTCGTCTACGCGATTATCTCTACACGCGTGACCGTAACCGTCGGTTGAAGGTTGCATACTGACCTGACACACTGACCCCGACAAAGTTCTGTCGTCGGGTTGAGCTAGTGTCCTAGTACCACTGGGGGATGTCGCGGCTACAGGACGGTATTCAGATATTTTTGATGTTGCAGAGCCCTTTATCTCGGTTCCCTTAAGACATTGGTGAATATGGTACTACGAAAAATTGCTTATGTTTTCAAGATCTACACGTCGTGTAAAGGAAAACCCCAACTTTGCGGACACCCTGTACATAAATCATAAACGTCGCAAGATACTTTTAAACAGTTGCATTATAGCATCTTAATGTGTGAGTTAAAAAATGTTCACAGATGAAGGTAAAAAAATAATGAGTATATAAAAAAATCAGATATACTATATTTTTATTTTCATAGTTTTTATTGTGTGAAGTATGGCTCATTATCAAACAAAAAAAATACGCAACAGAGGTGGTTTAGAAAAATCTACAGGGTGTTCAAGAAGAGGACGAAATACCACTGAATCTTGGTAGCTATTGGTAAGAGTTACAATGTTGGTTAAAGGTGTCCAATATCAATTATACTGTTTTGCCAAAACATTCGAGATCATTCTTAAGAATCAATTGGGTAGCCATCTAGAGTAAAACAATTTATTAGGTGCTTGTCAGATTGGTTTTAGGAAGGGCATGTCGACGATGACTGCAGTTTTGTCAAAACGGTAAACGAAACCTTTGAAAATAAATTATACCTGCAGGCTAACCTCTTTGATTTGATCAAAGCAAAAACGGACCGGAAAGCTAACAAATTAATAATATTACCATTCTATTAAAATTATCAGCATTTTAAATTACCTCCCTACCAAATTTCAAGTTCATAGGTCAAATGGTTTTTAAAATTTAGTGATTAATGTGTATTATTTCTCTTCTATATATTAGTCTCCTTATTTCGGCCCACTTTAAAAGTATGTTCTTTGCTGATATATTTTGTGCGAAATTGAACGTTAATAGGTTATCGAGATATCGTGACTAATGAGGGAGTATCTTTTAGCATTTACATATGCCTATAACCCCATTTGATTCAGCCTTGTTGCAAAATTAGTGCTCACCTGACCCGTGTTGTCCATTACCTGTCTGCCAAATTCGGTGCTCATAGGGCAAATGTGTTCGAGATGAATTTCAATAAAATTGAAAAACGATAAGGTTCCCCATAGAAATATCCAACCCCCCGAGGATAAATCTCTGAAACTCTTTGTTAATAGTAATAATTATTGTAACGATAACATTGAAGACACAACATACATTTAGGCTGGATTAATTTGATATGGTCTAAATTTTATATAAAAACTTAAACAATGTGAATTCCCACTTAACTTCCTTAGGGGTGGAATTTTTGTAGTGTCCATTTACTGTGCAACCCATATCTTTATACCTAGCTTTAAAAAATAATAGTTTCCCCATAGTAGCTTTTACCCCTTATTTCAACCTTTTGAAGCCTAGTTTTCACAACAAAGTCTCCTACGTTTGATCTACATTAGTGTGACTTATTTATCTTTCCAAAATCGGTGTGTCATTTTTTTCAAATAATTATATGATAGCTCAGTCCTGTAAACTTCATGTCAACCAACATTGTAATTCTAATCGTTGCCGAGATCCAATGCTGTTCCGTCCTCATATTGATTTTTTGATCCACTTCTGAGGTCCGTTGTTTTTATTTTATATGAGCTATTCCTACATCTGAAACTGTTTTCACTGTTAGACAACGAAAATGTAAAAAGGACAAAAATAGTGTTTATTAGAACTAATTTTTTGTTATATTCACGACTTTTTTTCTATACCTGTGAACATTTTGTAACGCACGCATTAATATGAGCCCTAACACAAAATATACTGAGTAACACAAAAAGGTAAACACCTACGTATGTTTATTAGACTTCAAGAATTTTGTACATATCGATTTATCTTGCCATGAACAACAAGTGATAAAATGGTCAGGTTTTTCTGTTAAGTTTTTGTGGTGGCAGCGTGTATTATTCGGTGATAAAGAAGTTTTCGTACATTTACGGTGTCAGTTGAATGTTAAATTTCGTATAGCTTATTGAAAAGCTTCTTGGGTGTAAAATTCGCAGGGTATCCCAGCTAAGTGACTTTGAGAGGGATCGAATTGTCGGGTTGCGTGAAGCCGGAATATGGGTAAGAGAAGTTTCTAGGACCAACAGATCCTTACGCAGAATACTGCAGTGTGAACGAGTGTGGACTCAGGAAGGCCGAGGACAGCGAGCGAGGGGTTCTGGACGTCCCAGAGGGACCACAGAGCGACAAGACCGCCGGTTAAGACTTCTAGCTCTGAGAGACAGATTCAGTAGTACTCGAGAAATCGCTAATCAATGGTTTGAAGAGCATGGAAGGATGGTTGGTATGCGTACGGTATATCGCCGAATACGACAGTTTGGCCTTTTTTCTTATCGCCCACATTGGGTGCTACCTCTTACAGCTGAACATCGGCGTATCCGGCTGCTCTGGTGTAGAGAAAGACTTCTATGGGACCGGAAATGGAATCAGGAGGTCTTTAATGTTGAATCCCGCTCTGACTGGAGATGCACGATAGTCGGGCAAGAGTGAGAAGGCGTGGAAGTTATGGTACGGGGTGCTATTGATTATGGTAGATCACCACTACTTTTCATCAGAGGCAATATGACAGCCGCACGCTATATTCAGGAAGTGGAGCCTCATCTTATTCCATACCAAAACACTATCCAAAACCCGATTTTTCAGCAAGATAATGCCAGTCCGCATGTAGCCAGAGCATGGGACATGATAGGTCGCAGGCTATTGAATTTGCAACGCCTCCACAGACTTTAGCAGCTCTTACTCACGAAGTTGCAGTAGCCTGGAATGAGATACCCCAATAGGATATCGACCTCCTTATCAGCACGATGCCCAGGCGTGTCAATATGTATAGGAAATCGTGGATCTTCAACACATTATTGAATCAGCTTCTGCAGTCATTTGACGAATCAAGCTGAAAATTTAATCATTTTTTTGACACTCAGTATAGTTCGGACATTACCTAATTTTATCTTAAAGTTTATTTTTTTGAGGTTACAAAATATTTTTTTACAAGGCATACAATTATATTGTTTGAATATCGTATTAACAAAATTATTATCAAGTAATATGATATTAAACTTTAAAACTAGACTAATCTTGATAACAACGCAATATTTGACCGACACATAAATGTTCGCGAGAACCATTACAATAGCTCGCTACGTCTCCCTTTGCCTTAATAACAGCATTAATTTTGACTTTTATAGTCTTAACAAGGTTTTCGCAGACTTAAGCATTAGAAGAATCCCCAATTTTACTCGTAAATCAGAAATGTTTTGTTGTGGACCATTTCTTAACTGCTGCTTCGTTTTGTGCCATACAGTTTCGATAATATTTTAATCGCCCCATCTTGTTGAAAAATCAGGTGATAAAATTGGAATTGACACTAGCAAATTGGTTGCAAGGATATTTTGATATTTTAGCTGCGTTTACTGTTACCATTAAACCTGATGGAAACTTTATTTTTCTCTTTAGGCAGTCATTTTTGTTTCTTATAACCCGGTATCGGTGGTCACTCAGACAAACATCAAATTTCGATTCATCGCTAAACACGATCTTTTTCCAGTCTTCTAAGTCCACATTGCCCGTTTCTTAGCTTAATCGCCTTGACTTTTGTGTTTCGCTAAGCAAAGATTTTATTTTATTTTTTTTATATTAAGCTGCATCAGCTAAATGGCTATTAGCAGCGGTATTGGTCTCATATTACAGTTGATGAAGCATGTTACAGTTATGTAAGAAATCGATTAGATTTTGGATGTTACAGTTTGTTCCAAGGATATGTTTTAGATTTTTCCCACTTAAATTAGATTGTTGTCTTTGATGCTCGTAGACTTGGCACTCCACTAGTATATGTTTCACTGTTGACCTGGTTTCACACAAAGCACACACTGGTTCAGGTTGCTGGGTGATGAGGTAACTATGGGTTATCTTGGTGTGGCCTAAGCGAAGTCGTGTTACGGCTGTTTGTATGCTTCTGTCTTCTGTGACCGTCTGCCATTCTCCGAATTTTGATTTCAGCTCACGCAGCTTAGAAGGCTTTGTTTCCCACACACTATTCCATTGGTCTGTCATGTCTTGTT